CCCCAAAACCCCAAAACCCCAAATACAAATAATGCAGTATTGAGAGTGAAACACACTATGGGAAATTAAGAATTTTAAATAAATTATCGCTACTATAAAGCTTTATTCATGCTTTTCAAGCCATTGCTTCTTGTAAAAATTGGTGAAGCTCCTTGGTATGAATTTTTGAGTAGCCAGTTGAGGTCGAGGCAGAGATCTGTCTACCAATATATGTAACTTCTGCTGGTCTACCAATAGATTTTTGAATGTTGTGGAGTCTAGGTAGGACATATGAGTATGATCCTTGATTCTTAGGTTCTTCCTGGCACCAAATGATCTCGGCATTCTTGAACTTCTTAATCTCAGGAGTAATAGATCTGAATGGGAAAGGACATAGTTACTCTACTCTAACAATGGCAATATCATTTCTGCCCTTTTGCTTTTTAGCTTCCTCTATATCGTAAACTACTTGACCTGAGCAAAAAATCACCTTCTTGACCTTCTCTGGAGCAACAAGGTTTTTGTTTTGATCTGAAATAACTCTTCTAAATCTAAGGCCTTCAGCGAAGTCCTCAATGTTAGAGTGAGCATCCTTGCTTTTTAAGAGTTTCTTTGGTGCAGCAACAATAAGTGGTTTTCTGAAAGTCCTTCTGAGTTACCTTCTTAAGAGATGGAAATATTGAGCAGCAGTTGTGCAATTGACAACTTGCATATTAACCTTTTGCATTCTCAAGCTGTTTGGATCATCATCGGCTGGGATTGTATCTGGGTCATCACATAATTAAAGGTATCTTTCAATTCTGCATGACGAGTGCTCTGGACCATTGCCATCATAACCGTGAGGTAAAAGCATAACAAGACCGTGTTTGACATTCCACTTTGTCTCACCAGAAGCAATCATTGTATCAATGATAACCTGAGCCTCATTTGAGAAATCACCGAATTAGGCTTCCCAAATAGCTAAGGTGTTTGGATGTGTTTGAGCATAACCATATTCATAGCCTAAAACACCAAACTCAGATAAATGAGAATTTGAGATTTGGAATCTCTTGATTTCAGCATTTGGAACAACTGTATTAATTGGGATGTATGAGGTATCTTTGTTTTGATTGAAAACTACAGCGTGTCTGTGTGAAAAAGTACCTCTTTCAACATCTTGACCTGATACTCTGACATGGAATCCGTCATGGATCAATGAAGCAAAAGCTAATGCTTCACCTGTGCCCCAATCTATTCCTTTGCCCTCCTGAACCGATTTCAATCTAGCATCGAAGATCTTCTTGATAGCAGGGTGGAAATCTTGATCATCTGGTAAAGTACTTATTCTCTCTCCTAAATCCTTAAGCACATTGATACTAACTCCGGTATCCTTCATTTTACCGTACTTAGATGTTTCCTTAATACTTTCCCATTCCTCATTTTTCCATTCTTCAATGTTGAATTGATGGTCCTTGCTAGCAGCATAGGCTCTCTCCAGTTCTTGCTTAATTTTGCCCTTCATCTAGTTAGCTTGGTCTTGACTAAGAATGCCAGCTTGAACAAGCTCACTTTCATACTTTCTAGCTACAGGAATCATCTTAGCTACCTTTTTGTACATAAGTGGTTGAGTGAATTGAGGAGCATCTAGTTCATTATGTCCCATCTTTCTGTAGCCTATCAAATCGATGACAACATCTTCCTTGTATCTGTGTCTGTACTCAGCAGCAATTGAGAATACCTTAGCAACATCCTCCATACTATCAGCATTGACGTGGAAAATTGGAGCATCGATGGCTTTAGCAATATCTGTACAGTAGACACCACTTCTTGATTTATGAGGGGTAGTGGTAAAACCAATTTGATTATTAACTACAACATGATAAGAACCTCCGACCTTGAAGTTAATGAGATTTTGCATTTGCATTGATTCATATACAACTCCTTGTCCAGCAAATGCTGCATCACCATGAATGATTACTGGAACTACCTTAGCATGTTCAGTATCTCCCATTAAGTATTGCTCAGCTCTTACTCTTCCCATAACGACTGGATTGACAGCTTCTAAATGAGATGGATTGGCAAGTACAGTTGTTGTGAGTTTTTAGCCAGTTGGATATGTTTTTGTGTATGTGGTACCTAAATGATACTTTACATCACCAGAGTAATCATCTTATTAGTCTGGAAGAGTACCTTAGAACTCATTAAAAATTTATTCTAATGGCTTTCTCACCACATTAGCCAATACGTTAAGTCTACCTCTATGTGGCATTCCTATAATGACCTTTTCAACACCATTCTCAACCAATGTATCGAAAGCGCATTTAAGACCTGGGATGAAAGATTCACAACCTTCAAGACCGAATCTCTTATGAGTATTGAATTTATTAGCGATAAATTATCCAAACTCGTCAGCCCACATTAATCTATCCAAATTAAGAATTCTCTTCTCATTTGGAACTGTCTCATATTGGAGACCTTCGAATCTGTCTCTGATCCAGTTACACTTATCTCTGTCAGCAATATGCATGTATTCAACACCAATCTTTCCACAATATGCGGCTTTGTATGATTAAATAAGATCTCTGAGCTTCCATTACTTCTTCTTTCTTAAAAGTCCTGCCAACTCAGGAGCATCGACGTAAAATTCACGATCAAGATCTGCTTCTGTGAATCCATAACTCTTATAATCCACTAAAGATGTTAACTATGAATCTGGAATCTTGAATTTATGAGCAAATGTGGGGAAATGCTTGTAAGTTTAGTATAATTCAAGAGGATCAATATCAGCAATCATGTGGCCGTGGGTCATGAAAGCTCTAATAAGTAGCATAATTTTATATGCATCATGAGCTGCTTAAGTGGTATTGCCTCCTTGGACACCAGCTCCTAGTTGCACATTTTGTTAAAGAAGAGATAATATCTATTAGACTGAAGGTTCTTGCCCGGTTTTCCCAATAGTTGGTGGTAGCTGGAATGGAACATTAGCTCCATTCTCAACATTTTCAAAATAGGATCTCCATGAAGCATGTACGCTTGAGGGATCTTTCTACCACTATTCGTGCATCTATTCAACATATACTGCTGAGGTGCCATTCAGGAAGTTGTCTGAGTGAGATGCAGATAGATTAAGAGATTTTGATTGAACGAAAAACCTAGTTGGGAAGTTGATGTAAGCATTAGATAATGCAGCAACTTGACGTTTAGTGCTTGCGAGCAAGGTGGTCTAAAGATATTTCTTATTTAACATGATTAAAATTATATAATGACGTTTGGATCTAACTTAATTATGTATATGACCTAAAATAAATTTATTATCAATATTAATTTAAAACATATTTTAATGCTTCCTTCATTAAATAATTCTCCCTCTACATCACCGAGAAAAAGCATGAAATTTTGATAGCAAGAACCTAAAACTGCCAGAGAGCCAGAAGTCATCATCAAACTAAGGAATAAGCCAGAAAAGAATTTCTAGAGCTTTTCAGGAAGCCTCAACTCATCTATAAACAGAGGAAGTATCATTGAAAATAAAAAACCTTAAAAGCTTTCATTGAGCAACGCTTCCTCAAAAAAGAAACTGACTAAACAGAACGATGATTTAAAAGATGTTCAGGAGGCTTCATTTCAACTAAGAACGATGAAGAGCTTTGGAATTAGAGAAAGCAATGATTTACCTAATATTAGTGTAAGTTTACCAATGTCTCCTTAGAAAAGAAATAGCATTGCTAAAGGAAATCTGAACTTACCTAACATTAAAGTTACATAATAATAGGATTCAATCAGTCTTGATGCTGACAAATTTATTCCATAGCTTAGTAGTGCTTATAGATCACTATAGAATCAAGAGGAACGAGTTCAGTATTGGTATTCTCGATATTCTAAGGAATATGCCGATAAATAAGAAAAAATACTGACGACTGATGCCAATGGAAACAAGAGGAATAAATCAATCAAAATAAACTTCTATGATGAACATAAAAAGCGTCTTTAGGAATTATCAGAAGAAGAATAGCGAAAGAAAAATTAATTAGATTAAGAAATGCGAAAAAGAATAATGGCTAAGGCTAGAAAATATGTAAGAATATAATCCTTTGATTAAATTTATCTAACGTTTTAATATTTTAGAAGTAAAGTATGGCAAATGATCAGCTATTGTCATTAATAGATGATAGTATTGAATTAAGCAAGATCGAAAGTGATATCTAGCTCAAGAAAAATTTGTCTCATGTCAAAAACTTTATTAGATCTTATGATTTGTAAATATAACAATGAACTACTAGCAAAATTAATTTTACTATTAAAAGACTCATACTGATATTTTAACCCATGGGGTTTTGGGGTTTTGGGGTTTTGGGG